ATGCTGTAATTAAAATACTGGTGGGGAAATGGGATAGGAAGGCTGCTCCAAAAGTAATGCACCTCTACAGCTAGAAATCAAGTTGTGTAGCTCCCTCCAAAAGCCAAGCCAGCCATTAGCCCTTGAGAGACACAGGTGGTACACAGAAGACTGCCACCCCAGAAATGCTGCTTTACCATCCGATTCTGACAGCGTGTATATATGATGGCCCACATATAAATACCAGAAGGAAAACATCCAGATCCAAAGTGCCTCGACAGTTATTATTTCTACCTGTGGAGCCACTGAAGCTGGATAATTGACTGTTTCTCCAGATCAGCACAGCAGAAGAGCCCACTCACACAGTACAATACCTTTAAGCATGAACAACAAACAGAACATGTTTCCTAGTTCTCAGTGTAAATAAATAAATCCTAGCATATGACTTGGAGTAGCTTAAACCATAACATTAAGAAAACTCAGGTAGGGGAGCAGAATGTGCACTCAGGTGGCAAAACAGCACACAGCAGCCCTCCTGAGACCTTCTTGAGAACTGCTGGAGCTGAGCAGCCACATCACACCACACCAGGCCAGCCTGCAACTACTTGATTCAGTTACAGTAACAGTTTTTACCGTAAGAGGTTCAGATTTACAGCATCAGTATAATGGATCTTTAAAAATCGGCTTTTTTCAGGCTATCAGTTCTATATGAGATGCTGCTGGAAGCGGTCATTAAGGGAAGCCCCACCAAGAGCGCTCTCAGAAGACTTCTATGAAGCTGTCATAGAACACAGTTCTGCTTTGTGTTTGATGGGCTGGTTGGGAAGGAGAACAACAGGGGCTCAGGGGAGGAATCAAGGAAGAGAAGATTTGGCAGAAAAAAAAGTTATAGCCTTGATTTCATTTTACACATTCATAAATGCTCTTTTACATAAGCAAACAATTATTCCACTGAGAAGTGACCCTTCATTTTATTTATTTTTTGCTTGCTCTGTGGAACACACAGAACCAGGGTCACATGCAATAAAACCACACCTTGATGAAGGCAGTGCCAGGAAGAATCACAGAATTGTAGGGGTTGGAAGGGACTCCAGAGATCATCGAGTCCAACCTCCCGAAGAAGCAAAGATCAAGCAAAAAAATACATCAGCATCAGTACTGTGATACACAGCATGACTGCTTTGGTCCAGAAACCAACGTGCATCAAAGTGCATGTTTTAGGGAAACAAAAATATGCTGAAGAGCACACACGCATCCCACATGCTAGAAATACTTGGCTCCTAGTTACAAGTAAAAGGCTTATTCTTATTTAAAAAACCCCCATTGACGTGAACTTAGTTTGTGGGGTTTATATTTATATTTACAAGTGATTAAAAATAGGCCCCAGTGAAGGCCCCAGTGAAACTTCTCTCTCACGTGTTCAACCTTAAAGACTTTTTCAGAATCACTTCTTCAGGCATGTTTACCGCTTCAGGAGCAACAAACCCAGAAGCTCCTCTTACCTTCACAAACCTACTGATAAATTCTCCTGTTGAGATGCAATCTGAACTGTGAGCTCCTCAGCTTAGAAGGTTCTCTAACCCAGCTCTGTGCACAGGCTTACCTATGCAGCAGGCATAAAAACAAAACCCTCCTCCCCACCATTACTCTTTTTTGTACAATCTTGTCTGAAAGTTTCATCCTCACTCTTGTCATCTCTTCTACAATTTGTTTTTGTTTTAATTTGGTAACTCAGCAAAGTACTCATAGTGACCATAGCAGTTGTTACTGTGAAGTCTGCCTTTTTGACATCTGGATATTACCTCCAGGTACAAAATGACATGCTCCTTCCTTATAATATGGGAGGTTAACACATTGCAGGAGACACAGGCAGCATGCACACAGGTGCTAAGCATTGTATGGAAAACTCTGGATGCAAAACACATTTAGTCCTGCTTTTATTTAATGTCAGTTGTCATGAGTCAGCAACAAGAATTTAATGGAGGGTAGCAGCCTTACACTTTTCCAGCTTGTTGTCATTAAAGCCTTTTAATTGCAACATCTTTATACCTTGCCATAGGACACACTGCTCAAGCAGAGCTGCTATGTATCAGCCAGCAGCAGCTCAGGAGCACACGGCTGCTTGCTCACTGTCCCCAGGTGGGGTGGGGGAGAGAACTGCAAAGGTACAGGTGAGAACTCCTGGTGTAGATACAGGCAGTTTGCTGGGTAAAGCAATAGCTGCATGCACGAGTGGGGCAAAAAGAACTCACTCACTGCTTCCAATAGCAGGCAGAGATTCACCACTGCCAGTGAAGCAGGACTCCTCATATGCAACTGTTTCTTAGGAAAAAAGCACCAGCACTCCAAACAGCCCCCTCTCCTTGCCTCTTCCCAGCTTTTATTACTGATGGCAACGCCATAAGGCATGGAACTTCCCTTCGGCCAGTTTAGGTCAGCACTGCCTCCCAGCACCATGCTGACAGGGTGGCTCAAGGAGCAGACCTGCCCTTGACTCAGTGCAAGCACTGCTCTGCACCAGCTGCATTACTGTGCTATCACCATTACTTTTCTCACATACCCAAAGCACAGCATTGTGAGTTTCCACCACAAAGGCTGATAACTCTGTCTCAGCCAAACCTAGTACAAGGGACCTGATGACCTCCAGAGGTCTCAGCCATTACGTGATTACATTTAATTCAGCAAAAGCAAAAGACACCAACTCCCAAGTTTATCCTAGAGACCACATGGCTACAGGAAGCCAATTCTGAAACAAGATCTCCTAGATTTGTGGGTTAACATGCAGAACAGCAGCTGTGTTTGCTGAGGTTTAACACAAAACTGTGCCTTCTGCAGCATAAGCCTTGGCTGTCACTGGACAAATATTTCACTACTGGTTTTTCGCAACTTCCCAACAGTTTTTTGTGTTGGTCAAAAGGTGCCTCAGTCAGAGAGAGATCTGAACAAAATAGCTTTCAGTGCAGTTTCCTGACTGAGTCTGATACAGGATCCTTTCGGCATTCAAAGCAGCAGATCCGCCAAAGCAACAGGACACCTCTCCCTTCTGGGAGCATCCCTCTGTTACTATAGCAGCAAAGTGCTACTTGCAGTAAGCAAAGCAAGTTTTCTGTTTGGGAGACCAGGAAGTTTTTCCCTAAGAACACATCCAGGCATAGCTGTTAGCCTCTGCAAACAAGGTGCATCTACCAGGGAAAATCCTGGTTACACTTCAAGTACATGTGGCAGCAGCAGTGGGAAGCATCTCCACGCTGCTGTCTTTCAAGTCTTTCCTTGAAGAAGGAAACTTTTGTAGAGGAAGCTGAGCACATGCTTTGCATTACACATGCTGTTGTCACTGAGGCCAGTAATCAAGAACACTGAAAAAACAGGTTCTTGAAAATATCCCTTCACTGTTCAGTCTGTCTACCCATGTGTGTCAACTCTGGATTCACCACAGTGGAAAAACTTCTTCAAACTATCTCAAATTCCAGTTTCCCATATAACAAGGACCTTGAACATACTTTGTTGCAGTGCACTGTTCGGTCAGAGTATCACACAGTGGTAAAGTGGCAGGGCAGAGAAGACAGTTATCTCAAAAACACAGCAGAAGCATATCAACTCCAGACCTGAGAAGACTTCAAGTAGTAGCACACACAGCCCCAGTGATGTAGGACAATATACGGAGAATGAGCTCAGTAAGTTAGAGCTAAGGACAGCAGAGAAGGCCACAGAGGAATCTTCTGAGTCCTGACAACCTACCAGGTGACATCAGCTCCAATTCCCACTCTATCAGCCCCAGTCTTTACAGCAACAGCAGTACTTGAACTGCTTAGCAGTGAAGCACTGACTTAGGTTTGACATAAGAGTTAGTTTTCTTTCCACTCCTGAGTTAGACCTCCTGTGACCACAACAGACACCTCCAGCACACACACAGCCTCTGTCTATTCTTCCTGAGGGCAGCTCCCACCTCAACCGTAGCTGTCTGGACAGCATTCTGTGATGTCCACACCCATTCCCACATAGCAGCCATGTCAGCAGCTCTCACCACATCCTCTAGCACCCCAAGGCAGCCTAGGTACTTAAGGCTCTTCTCAACAGCTCAGGCCTGTCTGTAATATTCACTGCAGCAAAGGTATGGATGGTGCCTGGATTAGTACTATTATCACTGAGGAAACCTGAAACCAGACAGTGAAGTTGGTATGACAGAGTCTAGACTCATCCTCTCAGCACCTCCCTTCAGAAATTTACTGGCACTGAAGAGATCTCCCTGAGCCTTCTCTTCCCCAGGTTGAAGGGTCCCAGCTGCTCCAGCCTCTCCTCATACAAAAGATGATGCAGTCCCTTCCTTGTCTCTGTGGCTCTACTCTGACAATTCACGCCTGCACCAGGCACTGCAGCAAGCCCCAAGAGAGCTATGAGCGTCCACATTAAGTCAGCATACTGTATTGAGAGGAAGTGGCACACAGAAGGACTGGCTACCTACCAAGGTGAGTTACACTGTCCTCCTTCCCTTCTCTAGAAACCTGCTGGTTTTGTTCTCCGCCCCCCAAAAAGGGAAAACAACAACAACAAAAATTCAGCAAAACACACAGAAATCCAGGAATTATCCCAATGGCATACAAGATCACCTGGACAGCTATGTCTAGGCTCAAGAAAATGGACAGACGTTAACTGATTAAGTACTGCACATATGAATATCAACAGCTCTAGCTTTATAGCCTTTAGCTGAACTTTTATCAACCCAAAGACAGGCAGAAGAGTTGTGGGAAACCTAGAGCCAGCAAAATGTGTGTACACCAATGTCAGTGCAACGATTCCCTGGAGGGATCAGCATAAAGAACCTTCAGCAATATCTTCAAAGAATCAGAGAACTATCAGAGGCTTGGCAGCAAAAGATGGCAGTAAAACAAGATATAATCAGAACACCTCCCTCAAACAGGTCTCCACCTCCACCAGAAGCTGGTAACTACACTACTTCAAGGTCATGCATCTGTAAGACAGAAAGGGTCACAATCACCCTGCACGACTGCTGCTAAGCATACCTGTGTTTTTAGGCCCATCTGCATACACTGGTCCTGGAGGCGGAGGTGCATTTTGCCATCCGTACTGCGGATAACCTTGATAGCCTGGCTGGCCTGGCGGGTACGGCCCTGTGGGTCCGGGTGGATAGCCGGGGTAGGGGCCAGGAGGGCCACCTGGCTGTGGGGCATAGGGTGGGTAAGGGGCTGACGGGCCCGGGCCAGGGTAAGGTGGAGGATTTTCGTAGTTCATTTGGGATGCAGAATCTGTCCTGTAGAAAAAGGAAAACAAACAGAAGAGTTGGTTTGCTTTCACCCCAGCATACATACTCCACTTCAGACTGCTCTCCAGTGGACCAGAGTTTGACATAAGAGGCCTGAGAGTACCTGCTCAAGCAGCAAACTGATTTTTAACCCCATCACAGGGACAGAGCCTGAGATGAAGAGGTTTCTTTTAAGTGACATCAGTTCACAGCTGCAAGGTGAGCAGCTTGCCCATTTCCAGTCAAACATTAGCCAGTCACACAAAGAAATCTGCACTACGAAGAAAATGCCTTCTGCTTCCCCTCATGACTAAACTGCTTTTAAGAGATATTTAAAAGCGATTACTTCATGTTTCTGTCAATAGTAAAACAGAAAAGCGTACAGAAAAGCGGCCCATCCAGGACACACACCAGGTAGCCTCATCTCCAGCAGAAGAGCGCTTCATTCGGGAACAGAACATTACATGTCTGCTAACTGTTACCATCATCCAGACTCGCTCTGGAACAAGGCTGTGCATGAGGAGTTTCCTGATGACTGTGTAACCCAGCACATCACCTGCTCCTTCCAGCTCTATGCAACCAATCCATTAAACAGTCACAAACAACCAGGGCCATGGGCTCACTCTCATTCAAAAAGCAATATTAAAAACACTTCAGGGACTTGAAGTTCATAAAACCTATCTATTGCATTACTCAAGTCACAGCCATCAGAAGACAAGACTGCCACCACAATGATGCAACTCCAGTTAGCCTCCAAATAGCTTGACTGAGCAAGACATCCCTTACGCAAGGTTCCTCATACTTCTCTCTGCTTGAGAAACATAAGTGACCCCAATGCCCTGTGCTAAGGAGCCTTCCTGGTTTCAGCAGCTCCCCCAGGCATGCTGCAAGGAAGTTCTCCCTTCACAAACCAGGCCAAAGGCAGGCAGCACATCCTACAGCTCACTCAGGTACAACACACTGGAGAATTGGTTCACCAAAGACCACTAATGTCCATCTAACTTAGAGACAGCCCAAAGGAGTGGCCAAACAAAAGTTCCAGTGGAAGAATGAGGCTGGAGCGAGTATGTGTGAGTATAAGCAGGCAGATACCAGCATGGCGCCACTTGGTGCCCCATGCCCAAGCCAACCATGGGAACACAGAGCTGCCTCCGAGCTCAGAGCAAGGGCCTGCAGCTCTGTGGCTGCACGAAACAGGAAGGCAGCTGCCCTCGTGGCTTTGTGTGTTTGCAACAGCAGCAGAGGCTCAGGGGAAGCCTGCTGTAGCCCACAGCCCTACAGCTCACTCCCTACATGCAGCCTGGCACCCTGTAAACACATGCAGCACTCTGCGGTAGTGCTCAGACCACGCTGCCCCCAGGGCCCAGCTGGCTGTAGCCATCACTACCAAGCTCCGGCAGTCACATTCCTGCAAGGGAATTTGTCCCAAGGTACATTTTCTGGAATACATTTTCCTCATCCCCACTTCCATTACTGGTTACTCTACTCTATTTGCCCATTTCAAATTGCACGATAATATTTACTTTTCCTCCATTTATATGAACCCACACACAAATTTACATGCCTAATAGCCCTATTCACTCACCAAGGTATGTGTTAGCAAGGCAGGGCCTTAAATCATTAAGCAGATACCTTTCAGAGACATACTTGAGCTCCTACTCTAGCGTATTATTATGCATTGCTGTGGGCTCTCAACCCTAAATTCCATGGAAGCTGCAACCAGGATTAACTACTGAAAGCCTGCATCAGGAGTCATAGTTGTAGGTTTTCCAATAAGCACTTTGAAGACAAAGCTCTAAAGAAAGAGGCCAGCATGTCAAGTGAAGCCATCTGTTGTTCACAGCACACCGGGAACTCCCAGCAGGAAGAGCCAGGGCTGTGCTGCAGCCTTGCCTGATGTGAAACTTGAGTTAAGCACTAAATCCAGCAAACTCAAACTCTCAGATGCCATTAAGCACATGCCCTGCCTGCTGTTGCTGTACCAAGACCACTTGGTTTTACCATTTTCTTCAGATGCACACAACCCTATTCTTTCTCCCCTCCCCACTACTTTTTAAGAGATAAGCTTGCTAATGTACCATTAAATTTCCCTAAGCTCTCCTTGAACTTTTGTTCCATACTGCTGAGCAAATACTGCTTACCCTAACCTAACAGAAGGGCAGGATTTGTAAACAGGCAGCACACCATGCCCCAGGAGGGCCGCATTCTGGCTCCCTTAAGGGCTGGGAAGAAGGGAGAAAAAAAATAAATAAATAAAGCTGAACACCAAAATGTGTTGTACGTAACGAATACAGTGCGTACATGAACACATACTGCCCTGGGCAGCCTGATCCAGTGACGGCCAACCCTTCCCACAGTAAGGGGCTGGAGCTCAGCCATCTTCAAGGTCCCTTTCAACCTGAGCCATTCAACGATTCTGTGATATAGAGAGCCACATACAAACACAAACACAGGGTAGGAGGGAAGGTTTATACATAAGAACCACATTTCCTAAAATCTTAAGTCCTTCTGCATCTGCAATCTTTGACTAACACAGGCAAATGGTGCAGACAGAAGCATAATGCTTTTGTGTACTGACAAGTATTTTTTTTAACCTGTCCATTTTGGCAACCACTACACTTTGGAGAAACAAATATCACTGTTATGCTTTTAACAATATCCTCTGGTGGCTTTAAACTTACTGCCTCCTATGAGATCAGCACCCCCGCAAAGCTGCTACAGAGCTCATCTGTTACCAATCTGGTTTCTCCATCTCCCTGAGAGAGCAAGCAGCCAGGGCAGGCCCTGCAGCTCCCCCAGAAGGCCCCTTAGCAGACTTGGTATTCCAGGGACCTCTTTTGGAGTCAAAACAATTCTAGCCCTGTAAAGGAGACCAGCATGGATGTTCTAATTACTGGTGGTGAGGACATTTTGACATCTCTACCAAACTGAAAACAGTATGCACAGAATCTGCATTTTCATGATACAGGTGAGCAGCACGGTACATCAAAGGTGCTAACCCACCTGCAAAGAAATACCAATCCTTATGGGCATCTGGAGGTCTGAGTCTCCAAACAATCTTCTATGAAAACAGATCAAGTAGGTAAAAAGCAGTATAAATGGGGTGACACAGCAGTCTGACCTGCATACTGAAGGAGGACCAAAAGCCTTCCACTGTATGGGAAAGAAGAGTTATTACCAGCTTTCAGAAAGCTTAGAAGCAAGAGCTGGCTTTCGTGACAGCAGAACAAGCACCACGCTCCGCCTGCCGTTTGGGTCAGGAGGAATCACACTGCACGCGGTGGGTATCGACCCAGCCAGGCTTCGTGCAGAGCGAGATGGAGGGCACAGTGAGTGGCACAGCGCCAGCAGGGCAGCGCAGCACCCTGGCATGACCCACCCTGCTGATGCCTGCAGCACTAGGAAGCAGTTTGCCAATACAGAGCTCTAATGGAAAGTACATCGAACATCAACAACGCAGCTCTTGGCAACGAGCCTAGAATTTAAACGATATTTCACATGAACGTTACCCAAATGAAAAAAAGTACAAGTGGCTTTTAAATGGCACTAGTTCTGTGTTTCCCTCTTACCAGCTTCTATGCAAGCTCCACAGAGTGACCGCATCAAAGGTACATTAAGGATAAATGGCACGGTTCTTCCTCGCCTGGCCGCTCCCAAGGCTCCTGCCCGCTCCAGCAGCAGTAACAGGATGGCAGCACTGCACAGCCCTGCTCAGAACCATGCTGCTTCCCCAAACGCAGGTACAGGGAGAACTGAAAAGCCCAGCTTTGTGCTGTCAAAAGAAGAGCTTCAAAACACTGTTTTGTTCAAATCAGTTTCCTCAGAAGGTCTCTGAGGGTAGGGGATACTCTAAGTGCAACAGGAAAAGGTGGATTTCCTCATCTTTATCCAAACAGCTGCCAGAACTCCCCTAAACAACAACTCTGTGGCCACTCCTAAGGGCAGAAGCCACCAGACCAGGCATCTCTGCTGGCTGAACCCCCTCAGGCTTGGATAAACAGTATTAACCCTCACAAGTGCCCAACTGGGTGCTGCATTCTGCAGAGCCCTCAAAGCCCACTGGGGCACCCGATCTGCCCAGGGACAGGTGAGGCTGTTCCCATGCCCTTCCAAACAGAGGGCTTCAACCCCTCCCACCTCTCCGGTCCCTTTACCCCTCACACTTTCTTAGCAAAACCACAGTGGCAACACACGGGCTTCCACAAAACTTCATGTTTATGCTGACAAGCTTCACTGCCTTGTTCACTGCCTGTTATGAACAACAATAACTGTTTTGAAGCTCTTCAGAATCTATTGAATGAAGCTATTCATCCCTTACTCCCTAATTTTCCTTCTTCCAAAATGCTGCCCACTGTATACCTACATGTTCTGCACAGCAAAAGTATCAGCTTGAGACTGAAGAGCTGCTTGTATAGTTTTGACAGTGAAACTGCTAAAGGAAAAGAAGACCAAATCCAACGTTCTGTTTCTGGTATCATGTGAACTGTACCCTCACAAGGAAAAAGTTTCACATTTTTCAGACATGTGATTAAAGGTTTTGAGAACATGTGATGTAACAGCACAGACCAGCAGCTGTGAAGATGAGAAGTAGTGCAGCACAGATCCTCCAGCCTTACAAGCCAAGGCACTCAGTGCTCACACACCAGCTGAGCTCTGCCCTGTGCTGTGGCAAGATGCGTGAAAAAGAAAAGCTCTTTTTATGGAACACGCAGCAGATACAGGTGTTAGCACTTTGGTTTCAGACTCTGAAAGCTTTCTTGTGCAATGCAGTTGTTCAGGTCCTTGTGCAATGTGCTACACCAGAGACACCTCCAGAAATACGTAAGTATATATGTTGCTCTGAAAGGGATGTATTAAGACTTTTTTAAGGCATAACAAATACCAAAACCAAAAATCACTGAGAACATCTGATTGTCAAGTTAAACCAGACTACAGAGTAGACAAAAAAACTTTATTGCTCCAACCAAAAAGAAAACAAGAAGCAAACAGCCTGACCAGCAAGGAGATTAGTAAGCACCTAAGATAGATAACACAGTCCCATGTGCAATTCAGATGGTGCCCTGGCAGCAGCCTGGCGATGAAGCAGCAGTCCCCAGCACCGACACGCTGGTGGATTTGATGGAGGATGCTACCCGGGCTGCCTGACAACATCCCATTTTCTGAAGAAGTAACCACACTGAAGGGCAGCACATGGCTTCTTAAACATAGTAGGGTCATGCACACATTTCCTACATCTCTGATCTCCTTCCTCAAAAAATGGCTTTTCGTAACAGGCTGGAAATTTGGATAGCACAGGCTTTCTTGCTTGCACTTTTTCTGCTTTTCCACATCACACATGCAGCTGTAACACAATGCTTTACTTAGCCTACAAGGGACATACAAGAATCTTCTTTAATGGCTGCTGGTCACAGGGGATAAGCGAGCACTTCTGAAGCAACACTTTCACAAGAGAGCCTTTGCCTTACAGCTTCTTCTCAATATATGATAGAGTAAGAGCCCAGGGCCATCAACAACCCACTAAACAATGCCTTTACAATGCATTATAATATTGATGTAGAATACATCTTTCTGACAAACAACAAAAAGAAACTGGAATAGTAATGACTGATGTAAGGGCAGATCTATGGCAAAGCTAGAGCCTTCCCAGCACACCCTGCCAGCACCCAGCCTAACGCAGTGCAGTTGTGAAGCAGGAGTGTGCCCAAAGCCAGGAAAGGCACCCTGCTGTACCAGGGCACCTCATCTGGAAGGCTGGAGGCAGGCAACAGCCCATGTGCTGGCTGCAGAATGCAGGATGCCAGAGCTGCAGTAACGAGCATGTCTGAATGACTCAGGCTTCTCGCTATCTTCCCCTCTTCCCAAAAATGACAGAGTGCTCCTCTCTGCTCATTGAGCCACAGGGTTTCAGCTGAGAAACAGGAAGAGGCACAGCCCATAGCTGATTGAGTAAAAAATACTGACATCAGAGGGGGATACGTGAGCTCTGCTTGCTCAAGCACTGTCACTATACAAATGATCCTGCCCCCTTACAGCCTGGGCACAGACAACAGGTAACTGGAGGAAGGCAAACCTGTTTGCTGAAAACCTGGAGGTACACAAACTTGCTCTGCCCTGCTACAAAACACAACACTAATCTGAACATGCAAAGAATTACCCCAGAAAACAAGCAGTTCCTCTGCTAACTGCACACAAAGCCCTCCAGGTGGTTCCCCATCATCACTCGAGAACAATGCTAGAAGCAGAGATGCTGAACCTCATGTCAGCACGCACACCCGGGCTGTGAGCAACATGCTGCAGCCAAGCTTTGGTGCAACACTGCCCAGTGCTGGGGCAGCCCCGTCAGAGCCCAGGGGGCTGCAAGGTGCCGCGGTCAGGCTGCATACAGAGCTCATTCCCTCCCAGGGCATTCCTCCATGACGACAGCACCCAGCAGCGCCTGCACTCTGCTCACAAACCTTTCGGGAAATGAGAAACCCGTAGTTTACAAAGACGGCCTTTATCGGGGCACGGAGGAGGCGGTCCGTAACGGTTAGTGCTGCACGAGTTCCAGCACTTGGGGGGAAAAAAAAAAAAAAAAAAACAATACCGTTGTGCGCACCGCAGATTAGTACGGAACGCACCAATTCCCGACCACCCCCAAAAATCACCGAGATCCCATCGCAACTTCGCGAGGTTCGCTCCGTGCACAAGCAGCAGCGCCCCGACCATCAGTAACCCACGCGGCTGAGAGAAGCGCTTCCCAGCACAGGAGCAGCTCCGCACGGCGCCGTACCGCACGCTGCGGGGCACGGAGCCCGGCCGCCCGCCCGCCGTAAGCCGCCTTCTCCCCCCCGGATCGGGCCGGGCCGGGCCGGGCCCCGCGAGAGCGGTCCCTCCCAACGCCGTTCCCGTCACGGTCGCCGAGGGGCCGCGGCCGGGGGAGGCCGAGCGCCTCCCGCCCCCATCTCTCGTTTCACGGCGACGTTCCGTTACCCGGAGGAGCCACGGGAAGGGGAGGCGCGGATCCGGCGTGGCCACGGCGGCCTCCGCGCGCGCCGCCCTCGCCCCGGGCCCGCCGGCACCTCGCGGCCCTTCCCCCGGCGGCGCAACCCCTCCGCCCCCCGCGGAGCCGCGGAGCCCGGCCGCGCCTCGGAGGAGCGGGGACGGCCCGAGGTCAGCGGCGGCACCGCGGCCATCGGGACCCCGCGCGGCCGCTCGCACCCCGCTCCCCGCCGTACCTGCGGCGCCGCCGCCTCGCCCCGCACCTGCCGCGGGCAGTGACGCACCGAGAGCAGAGCGAGCCCCCCGCCCTCCCCGAGCGGAGCCGGGCGCTGCCGAGGGGCGGTGCCACGCAGCGAGACCGCCCCGTGGGGGGCGCGGCCCGGAGGGAGGGGCCGATGGGCGACGGCGGCGTCGGCCGGGGGGGCGCCGGGCGGGGGTCCCGGAGCGCGGCGTGAGGACGGGCAGCGCGGTGTGACGGCAGGCAGCTCGGCGCCAGGCCGCCCGCCGTTGTCCCCGAGCTCCCTCCGTGCAGCAGGGGCTCGGGAATGCGCAGTGCGTCACGGCTTTCTGTACCGACGGGAAACCGTGCGTGGGAGCTCTAGGGAAAGCAGTGTAAAATAAACGAGGTCAGGAACGCGGCGGGTCAGGACTACGGGTCAGCGTCACATGAGCGCGACTCGCGGGCTGCGAGGTACAGCGGTGCTGCGCTGGGAGCTGCGGACGGGGCCGCGCTGCGCCGCGCGGGGCTGAGTTCCATCCGCAGCCGCCTGGGCGCTCGGGCCGCTGCAGCGCCGCGCTCCTAACGGGCTCAGCCTGGGAGAAGCTGTGCAAATCCCCCCAGCGCTGCCCTGCGCGTTTGTGTGTGCCTTGGTGAACGACCTGCCCTGTCTGGCCTGTGCAGTTCAGCAAGTGTACGTTGTTCCACTGGTTAACGTTAAACTCACCTCGATCCGTAGTGCCGTTGGACACGCTCCATTGTCTTGTTAAAAATTAACTTAGAAAGCATTTTGAAAAACACTAGCTTCATTAAAATGATGACACTCGATATTTAAATCTACTTTTAAATTACCCAGCTTGCATGCACTTCAGATAGTGAATTCCAGACTTCAATGCTACTGTAACCCCTCTAATAGAAATTCTGTGTTTATAGGTGAGAATACCCTGGAAACGAGGTTGGATTTCACATTGTCCATCTCACCCCACACATCGGATTGGGATTTTGGTCCTCCAACCCAGTTCTCCATGGGATCAGAAGAGATGGGACTCCTGGTGGACCAGGACAGATGCAGTTTGCTTGCCCCGTTTCTATCTCTGTTGGCACATCACAAGAGGTTACCTGAGTGCTGCAGGAGCCTCCTGCAGGCATAGCTGGAGTGTTTGGCTCCTGCCCCATGTGCGTGCAATGTGAGCACTACTGAGTTGCAGCTGAGGGCAGAAATCTCGTGAGACACACTGATGTCACCACTTGAACACTCTGAGATGCTAGAGGACAGAAAGGCTTTTGCTCCTACCAAAACAGCCCCTGCTGCCCCTTTCTTTTACCAGTGGATTTCTCTTGTATACTGCGTTTCCCTGCTGCTGTTACTCGGGAACAGGGGAAAGGAAATGTGAATTCAGCTTACTGGCTGGACAAACTCTGCTGCCTGCAAACTGTGGTTGAGCAAGATTTACCATCCCTAGCCCTCCCCACCCTGGGTAAATCCAGAGGCTTTATAATCACAGCTTTTGTCTTTGTTGTTTACTTTGTTCAATCTTACTGTCCAGGAGATACAACCCAGAGGGCATGGCTTGACCTTGTAGAGCACAAGTGCAGAAGCTGAGCTCACACAGCACTGCAAAGAAAATGAGTTGTAAGATGGGAAAAACAGAGTGCAAGACCATTGTGCAGAGAACTTGCTGCTGTTTGCTTGCCCCCATTCTTTTTGCATTTCCCATCTCTTTCCACACAGTCATTAGGTGAAACCTCTTGCAAAAGCCTTATGAAACACCCTGCTGGCTTGCAGAGCAGTTATATGAGGCTGCAGGCAGGGCCAGGCAGCTTTGCCAGCCAGCTATCCGATTTGGTGGAGGTGTCTGGAGGGCAGAAGGGCTGGAGTGAGACATCGTTATCTGCAGTAGTGCCGGATGGAGAGATCCAGGTCCAGCACTCCTGCCCTCTTCTTTGCTCTTCCCACACAGCAGTGCTGTGTACTTGGCAAGCAGACCCAGATTGATAAAACACCTCAGAATGAAAATGCTGCCGTGCAGGGTACACTTGGCAGGTCTGCACTGTGTGTGCTGGAACTCAGGGCCTGCCCCGGACAAAGGTCTGTCTCATGCATCATCTGTGCTAACTGGAAAGTTCTCTGCCTTGCCTGCTGAAGACTGACAGTTTAAATGTTCAGGACCATTGCATGAGAGACACAAGGATTTAGAAGGAGATATCTAGAATTGTTTGAGATGGAAGGGATCTTTTAAGGTCACATAGTCCAACTTGCCTGCAGTGAACACAATGGACACCTACAGCTCCTTCCTCAAAGCCTGATCCAGCTCTGATCTGCTCTGCTGCTCACATGCTCTAGGACTCTGGGTCCTTCCCAAGCTGCTTGGTGGGATCAGGTCTCCCTGAAGACCTAGGTCTCTATGCTCCATCCTGCTTGGTGTCTTTTGGTCCTGCTTTATGCTCCCTCACCACCCAGTCAAGCAGGATTTATGCTGGAATGCAAGGTACAAAGGCTGTTTTACTTGGGTGCATGGAAATAAAGCACTACCGTGGGCCAGGCTTGTCACTAACAAAGAAAGTGGGTCCCCTGGCAAGGCCCAAGTCTCAAGGACTATCAGTGGAAGATAAAACTATAGCCATAGCTCTTCTCTTCCTCTGTCAAGGTAAGAAATGTTTGAGCTTTATCGCAAACACTTGAATGCTCCCTGCACTCCCAGCCTGTCTGTTGGAAGTTCTGCTGCACCTCGGACTTCCTTCCTGCAAGAAAAGGCTGAGCAGAGGTCACCCTCAAAAACATAGGTATCAACTCACCAGTGTTTGCATAGGAGGTCAGGAAAACCAAAACTCATGCTGTTGAAGGGACATCATTTGTACTGGGGAAGGCATGCAGCAGAGCACATTAATGAATCTGCATTCAAAAAGTAATGTGATCACCTTGCTCTCTGGTCAGTGCATTCCAGGTGTTGCCTCATAGGGGGCTGGGCAGGCACACCCCAAGAGCATGGTGCAGCCATCCTGCAGCTGCTAGGGCCAGGAAATCCTCTTACCCTGGGGAGTACTGGGCAGCACACATGTGAGGTAGCACGTATGAGGTAGCACACGTTTCAGTTTTGCTGACTCTGCTTCAGAGGCTTTCAAGCTGTGGGAAACCAAGACACCAGCAGCAATAAACCTGCAACAGTACTTCATTCATGGACTGGCTTGACTCCGATCTAGCACAAGAAATCAATGGCAGTTTGGCAGAGCTGATGTGGGCTGCGAAACCTTGCCTGCATTTAGGCCACAAGGCCGCTGTGTGGTTTTCTCCAGGAGCCTGGAGCAATGCTGGGAGCCCTGCGGGCTGTGTGGGGCTGTGGGAAGCCTGGGCAGTGCAGTGAGAGGGGGCAGATATGGCCTGGAGCGGGCAGAGCAGAGCCAGACAGAATGAGATCTGAAGGGGAATTTGCTGGTGGGCACAGGCCATGCAGGACTGTCACCTTGGGGGTACCCAGCAGCAGAGGTATTGATGCCCTGCAGAATGTGCTGGCTGCTGCAAGGCCAGGCAGCAAACACCACAAGGTCTGTGGAGGGAATGAGGGATGGGATACCCTGTCCTCGCTGTGCTCCAGGTCCCTGTGGGCCTCAGAGATGGGATGCTCTGCCATTGCTGTGCTTTAGGCCCATGCCACAGGGCCAGGGGGTGCTGCCAATGGGGCATCAGGATGCTCATCTCCATCAGGACCCTGTATCATTACTCTGATGCTGGCTCCTGCACAGCCTGTGGACAGTGGCACAATGTTTGGAGCATGTTAGGGCAGAGCAGCTCTGCTCAGCTGCACTGGTGCAAAGAACTTCAAAGCAGCCATAAATCAGCCTCTAAGCAGGCCCAGCTGTGTTAGGACCAGCATGGGCATGGATCCTGCTACCTCCTATGGGAGTGACGAGTGGGCTGGCTGTCACCCATTCCCACTTGGCCAGGAGACCAGGAGGTTCCTGGGAGAGCCTGGATCAGTCCCTGCCACTGGGACACGGATGTGTGTGGAGGGCAGCACATGTCCATGTGGACACAGTGCTCTGAGATCAGGTTATCTGGGGAAAACAGGTGGTGTAAGATGAGATTGAGCAAAGAAAGACCTCAGCATGAGTTTCCCTAGGATCCTGCTGGATTCCCTAAGGTTCTGCTGATGGCACGATGACTGTGAAAGGGGAAGAGAGGAGATTTTATAGGGAACAATGACTCAGTGGTTGCTATTAGTAGGCACCCCACTTTGGTGCAGGCCAGCTATGGGTGCAGGACAAGAGCGTTAGAGGGAAGACAAAACTCAAAACAGCACCATATAAGAAAAATATTTGTCTCCCTCCTTAAGCTGCTGTGTGGCTAAGAGACTAAGCTGGGATGTCTCTGGCACACCCCCCCGTTCTGCAAGGCCATTTGTGAGACACGCAACAGTTACCAGACTGTAGCTTGTGCCTCAGCAGCAGTTCTCTACAGATCTCGATTTTGCTCAGAGTTTCTCTGTTAAGAGCTGGAAAGATGATGGATTTTGGACCCTGTCATGGAAGACCTGGGCATGGCCCACACCAGACCTCCTCTCTCCAAGGGCTCTTATCTTTGCATGTTTGCATGACTTTGGAGCCCTGTGACTCATGTTAGAAGCTCCCTGTGCCACTAAACCAAAGGGTTTTGACTCAAGCAATCCCAGCTTTCACAGCACAGCGTTGTGATCTGCTGCAATCCTTCTGCCTGCGCTGCCCCACGGCCCACGGGACCTGCTGAAATCAGACCCTGCCAGAATGTTTCCCTGGCTGTGGCCTCTTGCACATCTCATTCTCACACTATTTATATCACATGGAACAGCACGTAGGCACCACTGTCTACCAGTAAAGAGCTATGTCAGCTCTCTGCAGTCTGACCTTACTTTCAGATACCTCGGCAACAACTTAGCAGCTTGAAGGCACAGGGAAAACCCACATCTGGCTGTGTTGTGCTAGTTTCCAGCACTGACTTTCCACTGCCTGGCTGTGGGACCCAGATCATCTTAGCCTTGTTCATGCTGGAGAGGTGTGGCAGCTTCTGCATGAAAAATCCATTCTTTTGGTCTGCTGTGCAGCCCAGGAAATCCTCCTACTGGGTAAGGTGCTGGCACAGAAAGGGATCAAAGGGAAGGAGTCAAAGGCTGAAATCATTTTAGGAAGTACTGTGAGTCTGGGGAAAATCCCAGAGGTAGAAAAGGCTCAGTCTGGATGACCTTGGCTGCCAGCTGAGCTGTTTTTTGTGTGTGGAGGAGCTGACTGGAGCTCTGCAGGGTTGGCTGCTCCCACATTCCCAGCAGCTCAGCCAGCACCCCATCGGGCCTGCTGGCACAGCCTGGGTCTCAGCCTCTGCTCAACAGAAGAGCAGAGTGGGAATAGACTGCAGCTGCCATAGGCATTCTCCTGGAACATGGCTGCTCCAGACAGAACCTTGTAGCTTCTGGGCTTTGAGGATACCCAGTCCCCACTTCTGACAGCTTTGTGCTAAAGAGCTATTCCCAGGAGCAAAGAGTACTGGGGATCAGATGATCCTGCTGTTCATGGTTCATGGTGGAGACAGGGCCACCATTTCTCTCTGGTGGCAGAAGGCTGCCCAGGTGGTCGGGCCTTGGTCATAGAGATCCCTGGACCAGCAGGGCATTGGCTGGTGGAGAGTGTGGTGAAAGCATGGCCAAAAGGACATGGAGCACGGGTAGGTCCTGCCATGCTGGAAGCACTGTCCAGCTGCCTGCCAGGCCTCCATCCCTGGCACTGCAGCCTGCATTTCCCACACAGCAGCAACCTGCATGAGGCTGCGTGGCCAGGCTGGTGTGGCCCCAGGGTCCCCAAACTCGGCTAGGCTTAGGGCCACCTGCTCACCACCTGGTCAGCCAGCTGAGCCCCACAGCTCTAGAGAGCTGATCTTGGAACTCGTGGGGTCCCTTCCTGGGGAATTAATGCAGATTTGTGTTTGCTGGGGGTTCTGGAAGACATCTCCCATTGGGGTCCTGACATATAAAGATCCTCAAGACAGTGCCAGACTGGATCCTGCACAGCCGTGGGATATGTGACCCTTGACCCTATCCAGAGGCCTGCTGGTGAACTTCTGAAGCCTGAAAGCTGTGCATAACTTTCATTAAGTTGAGATTTATTTCATTTTGGTTGAGATTTATTGGGCTCACCGGACCTGCGCTTGCTGTGGAAAGCCTGGAGATAGCTGCAGGTCATAATAGGTGGGGTTACACTGTTCCTGTTGTCTCTGCGTTATTGTGCTGGTAGCCACAAGTATCTTATCATGGAGTAGGCTGAGAAACATCTGCAACAGGTGCTGGAGCCCTTGACATAGCTCCGCTCCATGCACATCCCTGTGTCATAGTGGGCTCTGCTCCCAGTCCTGCACAGCTGGCATGACTTTAGCATTTGGACTTCTGAGGCAGGAAAATATGAGGGTTGCTCCAAAAGTAATGCCTCCTATTTCATTAGGCAGGCCCATGATGAAAGAGGTGGATGGAAGAGGGGTAGGATGGAAGTAAAGGTTGGACCTTCCACCAGTATCCCGTAACATTCTGTTGCCTTGTGACAGATGGCAGTAGAAGGGCAGTCTGACAAAATGCCATCTGACATGGAAGTGCATATGAAGCAAAGGTGTGAAATTGAATACCTCCATGTTGAAAAAATTGACACCCATTGACACTCATTGATGCTTGCTGAACATTTATGGAAACCAGTGAATGTAAGCACAGTGAGACAGTGGATGGTGTCACCTCTACTGGTACAGATTTTTATGAGTGTGACACGCAGGCTCTTGTTCATTTCTAGCAAAAATACAAAGCTAACAGTGGTGACTATGTTGAAAAATATTGTTTTGTAGCTGAGAGTTTTGTCTAACAAATAGTGGTACTGTGCTCTTTGTATCTGTTGTAGTTCCCATGGGGATAAATAGGAGGCATTACTTTTGGAGAAACCTACAAGGGTGGGCTGTGCTTGCAGCATCACACAGCCCCTAGACACCCCTGCCCAGCTCTTGGCCAGCTGTGGGAGAACTCAGTGGACAGGAGAGGGGGATAGCTTGCTCTGCAGGGCCGTGCACTGGCACCCTCTAATGACACAGTTACATATATTCAGGGAGCACCATGATGGCTGAGTTGCTGGCCCAAGTGCTTGGTTCTGTTCTGGCACAGGCTGGTGTCCAGCTCACTGGCTTCAGTGAGGCAGAGCCACAAGCTTTATTCTCCTGCCCTGCTCTGCTCCAGACTCTCAGCTTCAGCTCCCTGGGCTCAATAGGGACTTGAGAGAGGCAGCAGCAGAAGGGGATTGTGTTTGGGCATGGCTTCTGCCAAGTGCACGTCCACAGGATGACACAGGCTCTGGAGCAGTGCAGCAGGGAAGACGGACCTGGGACAAAGTCTTCTGTCTGCTCCCACAGCCCCACTGGTACCCACAGCCTGGCTCTGAGTGCCCAGCAAAATTAAACTCACTGTGGCAGAATTTGGCCCTGCTCTGTGAGATGGATCCAGGATGGTGAGGCTGCCATCCCAGGGAGCAGCATCCTTGGCACCTAGTGCACAGCTGTGGTCAGCCCTTTCCTGGAAGTTGTGTTAGGATGATGCTGCACTTTGGTGCCCTGGGTTTGAGTTAGGATATCTGGACTGGCAGTGAATGTCCCTCATGCTGTCCTGCCAGTGTCATGATCAAAATCAGCAGCTCTTGCCTCTCTCCACTGGGCAGGAAGTGGGGAATGGCCCTGGAAAAACCAGGGATGTGCATTCTCATACACG